TTTTTTTTTTCTGCAATCTGAATAGTACAAAACTTTAACTTGGCCTTAAACCAGTGGTGGTCCCGAGGGAGCACAAGTGTTGAAGGATGTTTCTATTCCCACCCAATGCAAATGCCCCACGCTTGATTAATTTAATTTATTTACCCTTCTTCGATGCCTGAAAATTCTAGAATATATTTCTTCAAGTAGTTGCACCAGACTGAGCTGAGTTCTTTACTCTAATGCAAAAAGATAACATTCGATTAAACCGATTCTTCTCTTCTCAACGAGAGAAAAAAATCCGAGCAAATGTTTTATTTGTACAATAAAGTTGAATTAACGTTTCGTTCAGCGGAATGCCAGTTGGAAACCATTTGTTTTGTACCAACTCAAAAAGATCAACTAATAAAACTTACGACATTAATACTATTTATAGAAAAGTATACTTGATCAAGTCTTGTTAGTCGGGAGCACAACTTAAAAAGAGAGCCAATTTGAGATCTTCACCAGCTTTAGAATCTCGGCCGCGGACTAGCCATAAACAACATCAGCGGATAAAAGCAAAATGCCAAAACAAACAAAATGCGATCATAGTCACTCGAATCACTCGAATAATTAATGTCCCCAATTCATGAATTTGTACACATTGCATGCCACACGATAGAGGCTTGTGCTATAAAGCACAACCGCATAATAACTTTTAACGGTGCAGATATACTCACAGCTCATAGAAAGTAAAGCGGTTAAAAGGCGGAGGACTGTCACCATTTTCAGCTAAAGTAGGAAAAGGACAAATTTCCTTTTCGAGCCTGCTTGCTAAGGGCCTTCGGCTTGAATGAGTATGGTAACTGTTATATGATGGCAGAATTGGAACGAATAAGTCTATTGTCATTGCCCAAGAGCAGTAAATACTGAAAACGAAATTTAAGGTTTGACGAAGGTCCAGTTGGATTAAATCCCAAAGAATTGCGCCAATCATATTTGGCAGTGGCAAATGTTTCACAACAAAAACGATAAATATTTTCCCCTTGGCCATGTATTATTTGAACCCCCTCTCAAATATAACCGAGGAGAATGCAAATGACTTGTAGTCATTTTAGAACTCCTAAATCAAATCTTTATAATGTTTGATGTGTGGAAGTAATAGAACATTGAGGGTCTAGCTAGATCACTTTTTTAAAACGTTTTCTAAAACATCTAAAATTCACAAAAAGGCATCCTTTGTCTCACAACGAGGGTCTGATATCTCCTTTGGCAAAAAAGAGAATAAATGAAACGATGTAGAAAGAGGAATAAGCAAAGTAGTTCATCTTAGGCAGATCAGTTGCACTGTCAATTACTGCTAAATAATACATCGCTCGAAAATTCCGATACCGAAAGTTAATTGACCGGAAAACCGTTGTTATTTGATCAACATCAATTACTAGTGCAGCTTCAACGAGAACCAAAAGATTCAATATATATTTGAGTCTAGCTAAGATGGCTGGAGATTAGGTTGTACCTGCTAAATGAGTGTAAGCAGCTATTGAAACTGAACCAAACGGTGAGAAAGAAATTTCTGTGGGCATGTTTGTTAATCTGTCACTCCGACTCCATGTCAAGTGTAACTTTTATTGAAAGTGCCGGAAAAATAAAATAATGGACAGAGCTGAAATGCTTTTGAAATTCGCAATTCGAATATGGTAAGGAACAGGATGAGCGCATGTGACCATTTGGTTTCATTATCCACAAAAAGGGCACAATGAAAAGCTAATAAACATGTCATATTTATCAGCAAAGAATCTGTAAAGACCTCATAATTTGAACAACAAGTATATTTGTATTTAAAACTGAGAGAAAATGAAAATTCAAAATAGGATGTCGTGACAGAAAACAACATCCTCCACGAAATAATGAAACCATCAGGTTGAGACTTAAAACAAACACGTTTTTATTTCAGGTTCAATTTTATCAACCTCAACTTCTTAAGCTATAAAAAATCTACTTTAGTAACCTTTGGTTTAAGGTGGAAGGAAATAACAGTTTTATAATCTAATACAGAATTAAACTAACGAAAGAAAAAACCTCACCTATGAAACGTAAGGGGAAATTCCAGTCGATGGATCAAACCTTCCTTTCAGAAAATTAAGATAATGGAGCCCTGCACCACAAAAAAAACTTTGCTATATGATGCAGCTGTCTTCGCTCAAACATTTTTGTTTCAACAACACATTCGCCTCAGTATCTTCAGTCATTTAATGAGATCATTATTTTGTTCCTCGAACGACTCTGAGCCACCAAACCCGAAATTCACGCGATTGCTAAAGAAAAACAAGTTCCGAGTACAGGAAATGATTGTATAAAGTGCATGGCATTCAGATCAACAGCCATTTCAATTATTTTGTTGCCTAACGTTGAATATTATACAACAAACTGGTTGAAATCGATTAAGACTTCGATATACTTTAGGTTTCCTTGTGTCCACTTTGAACTTGAAACATTCTTGATGATCGAAATCTGCCTTGCTCGACCTAATACTTTTCATGGAGCCCTGAAATGAACAAAACACGAATTAAGAAACACATTCATAGTACAGTATGCTATGGACAGAAGGCTCTCATCGAGCAAAATATTCAGTACTGGTGAACATCACGTGTACATAATTGTTTCTAATGACGTGTTTCAACTGTATAAACCAAACTGTGTATAAACCAAATAGTCGCTTTGTTTCAGAATTCGGGAATTTCCTAAACTTGGCACTTGGTAGAAATCAAGTCTTAGGGTCCGCTAATGTTACAATCAAATATCAAACTCATTTGTTTTCAAACATTTGTGGTCTCATATTCTTGTTAATCTGCTTGTTTGCCTGTTTTTTTTTTTTTAATTATTATTATTATTAATATCATTTTCTTCTAAAGAAACAGAAAACAGCGTAGGGCGACACTTACCTTTCCTGTGACGTTCTGGCTTGTCATGTCTATTTTTACGCTCTGCTTTTTCTATCTTCGACTTGCGTGTGGCGTTTGCCCACTTATCTGCCCAAGCTAGAAGAATCAAGGTAGGAAAAAGACGCTCAGCTAATTCGTACACAGAATATAGACCATACTTTTTCAATCTAAATAGATTTTGCTCGAAATCTGGATACAAAAGAAACCACGTTTTCTTATCTAGATAGAGCGGAATCGTTGGTATCCTTTAAAGAAAGTATATTCATTCCATACATACCGAAGTGTTCACTAAAAAAGATTGTCTCAAATCCCAGTTCGCAGCCGTTTATAGCTAATCAGATCAGGGAAGCGACAATTTCACACGTAGAGGAAACGTTTCGATTAATCACGATGAACCGGTACAAAAGTACTGGGTTTTCGCGCCTTCTCCTCTTCGTTCATCGTCCTAACAAAAAAGTTAGCTTCTTTTTCAGTTCAGCCTTGTTTAAAAATTGTGATCTGGGTTTGAAATGACGCTATTGACTTTACCTCCTCAAATAGGTTTTTCGAGGGGGCCGAAACCTCAAGTTTACGATTTCTTGCGTTCGAGAAACCTGTAACTGAGTTTAACAGGAGCAGGAAAACGAACACGCTTTTAAAAACACGGAGACACATTGCCATTCTAAATGCATTTTTGAAAGAAAAGAATGAAAAGAGAATACTGGAAGAAATTCGGTTGGAGTAGCTAAGTGATTTCTTGGGTGAATTTATAATAACTGTCAGGAGACGGAGACGGATTTGAGCCTTCAAGCCACAGGGAATTTATTTCAAGCTACAACTGCCACTTGAAAGCCTGAAAATATCCAAAGAACAAAATAGAAGACCTTGAGTTTTAAACAAACCCGTCAAGCTTTGGAGGCTCGCAGCAAACAACTGAAAAAAGAAGGAAAGGACAAAAAAGCCAACAAAGGAGACCGACGAGGAGGTCAACATTCTACACATGGAAAACCCGCTTGGAATCACGAGTGTCAAGGCTTTGTTGAACAAGTTGTGATTTATGAACTGCATTCATGTCAGGTCAGTTGAAGTGTTACGAAGTGCAACGACAAATGACTCTTGGAGATGTTCAACTCAGTTATCATAGATATGGACGGAGCTAACTACTTAAAACATTTAGAACCGCAGACTAAAACACAAAATGAGGCAGAACTTTGAATTATCAGATCAGTCAAGCCCAAAGCTTTCGCTACTCAAGATGGTCCAGATGAGAGAAACCCTGTTATGTTAACAAGATTTGTCGCAAGAAAAGACCAAACTCAATGCTGTTCGCCGAGGCTCCTTTCTATCTTAGCATCAACTACTCAAAGGATTCTGGTAAATGTTGGTTTAAGACAAGTGCCATGGGTGTAAACAAACTGAAATCGTTAATAATTACGAAGGTAAACAAAGCTGGACTCAACGAGAAGCGACGGCTCACGAACCACAGTGCATGAAACAAAACCTTAACGAAAAGAACATTCCCCCCGCTCACATCATGCAGCCTTCAATTCAACGTCATGTTCAACGGGTAAACAACTACAGTTCTGTTTCTTAAGAGCAACAGAACTAAGATAATTTCAATGATACTGAGCTCAAATCCTACAGCATGCAATGGCGCAAGCGACGAAAACAACAATGCTACACGTACGACTTTATCTCGGATGATTATGATAGCCCACCACTGCAATGAAAACTTTATCACTAATTGGCTTGTTATCTATTCTTCAAGTGATATTATAAATATAGCTTCGCCGAGATTCTGTCGAGCTACTTAAGCTCATTTTGACGCATTTAAAGCTACTTTTTAATTCATGGGGCGGGTACGCATACGGCATTTTCGCACTTGTTGGTTTGTATCCGAAATCTTACTTGTTCGCTACGCATACTCGTTCGATTTCGAATACATCACCACCGGGCGAAAATGCCGAACGCTGCCCTCCCCTTCAAATAATTTATATTCACCATCCTCAGGGAGGTCTTTTGCAGGTGGGACAAGATTTGCGGCTGAAAAAAAATAAACATTTAACATTTTTTTGTTTTTTTTTTTTTCAATGGAAATACCAGCACAAGTTTTACACGTCATGTTCTTATTCACTTTTCATCCGCTCAACAGCTTACATCAGCGTATTGTTCTGAATATGCTCACTTTCCTTAGATATTTCCTTGCAATTGGTCTTAAGCTTCCTACATTTCTGGAACCCTTGAATGCAGTATATCCTGCGTAACGGATCCTTTGTTATCATAGAAACCCTCTCGCGATCACTGGGCCTGGGCACTTTTCGACTCACAAGTTTGCATAACTGGTTCTGTTACTTCTATTACTATCTTATGAAATCAAGTATCTATGCTTCAACTAACAATATACATCACACGTTACCTTTCAAGTCATATTTTTAATGAATATTGATCATAAGCCTTAGGAAAGTTAGAGAATAAAATGTCAAGAGAATGATTCACTAAGCTCATTTCCCATTTTCACGCATCACGATTGGGTTAAATTTATTTACATGATATCCTTCCACACTAATAATGTCACCATTTAGTTGCCTACGAGGTATTGTTAATTCTGCCGAAGATCATCTTAGTATTGTCACCCATCCCATGTTATTCACGGGTTCAACTGAAGCCCAAGATACAAATTTACCTCGACATCTGAAGACTGCTACTCTCATGCACACGTCATCTGTTGAGGACTCCACGGGGAGAAACCGAACATAGCTTACACTTATGGCAGGGTTGAGGTGATTATCAACTCGAGAGTTTGAGTCGTAGTTACCATCCAGAATCTGTTAGTGAAAATTCATTTGATTTTACTGTGAGAGACTGAGATAAACAAGACTTCACAGGTTTTTATGTCCACAGACATAAATGAACTCGACGAAAAAGCTTTACTGCAGTCTGTGTGAATTCCTTGCAACATGTAAGAAATTCCATTGTTCATTTTGTCTTCCCGTGTTTCTAATCAACGACCATCGATACCACAACTATTTTCTATTTTGTTTTCATATGTTCATAGCAGAAGTTCTGACCAATTGGCAGTCATACCTTGCCGTAACCGAACCAATTTACGCCATCCACACTGCAGTTGAGGCTGAACTTTGTAACGAAATTTGGGTAATAATACTGGCCTTGGGTCTCGACCATCCCAATGGTGGTTGGTGTTCCAAGATTCAGCTGAAGATATTGGTTCCTATCTTTAGCTAAGGCTTTGGCATGATCAACACACCAGGCACCTGGTAAGGAATAGGTTAAAAAAACCTAATGGAGATGACTATATAATAATAATAATAATAATAATAATAATAATAATCATAATAATGATGATGATGATGATAACAAAAAAATAATCCTTTATTTTACCCATTAAAAACCAAGAAAATTATCTAACATTTTTACACAACTTTATTCTAAAGCTAAGCCTAAATCTTATGTGAAATCAATCTATAAATTCAATGAACTATGCTCAAAATCCAGCTACAATGATTCTTTAAATAAGAATGACTGAAGCTTTCAAAACAAAATAATTCTTAATAGTAACAATCACTTATAAGATCAGGCAAGCTAAAAAAACGTGTCAGTATTTACATTATAATGATAATAATAGTAAGTATATACCACACAAATTAAAAGTGTTCTTCTTGCACGCTGATTGGTTAGTTCGGAAGTGGATAGCAAATACCGTTCCATTCACCTCCGAGCAGCCGATGGGACAAAATCGTACGTAAACAGTTTACTTTCCGACCATTTTTTGGTATATTGAAAGATGTTAACTTAATTTTCTGGTATCGGTGTGGTATATAATAGAACAGTTATTTACCTCAGTGTCGATGAATAATTGTTCATGCTAATGATCGTAATGATCATAATGATCATTATCATAAAACTGATAGTCATAACAGTGTCAATTCTCTCAGCTCCTCAGCCAAAAGGTCTCATCTCATTGGTTTTAAAGAAGATGATTAAACTATAGAGGAACTCGTCTCATCTCGATCTTGAGCTTAAGAACGTTGATTTTATACCTAAACGATTTTTGGCTTCATTTTTTCTCACATAGAGAAAGAGGAGATGGTTTAAGATGCTGGTTACGTCACAGACTCCTTTCAGGTCCTTTCGTCTGCTAAGATATATCATTGTATTTTTTTACACATTTTACAAGCCTATAGTAATACCTCGTCCTTTCGTGTTATTTACTTTACCCATGGAGGGCATGTGATCAATCCTGGACTGAGTCTTATCTGCTTCAGTGTCTCCTTCGGCGTAAGATGACGAAGCATCCAGCTGATAATCCGAAAGGGTCACAACTTCATATCCGTTCGCACAATCTAAAGCGACCCAAGGCGTTTAAAAATCACATTAGGTAAGGCAAAGAATTTGAAATGCATATATGTCTCATAAATGCAACAAATATTTACCACATAAAGACCAGAATTCTTGGAAATTGAATGAAGCAAAGTTTTGACCTTGACTGTGGTGTTTACGGGTTTTATGTGTTGTATGCTCCCTTTGTTATGTTTTTCTCTCTTAACGCATCAGAAAGAGCAACCTTAGCCATACACGTACTACACTGCCACAAAACGAATATACAGTGAGAATGTAGGAATTATATAAAATTTGCTCCATGTAACAAAGCTCTGTCAACTCAAAATCCCTCAACAAGATACTTGTAGATCATTTTTCATCTTACAAGATCGCAAGCAAGCTTTAGAGGCCTTTAAGGGAGTTATTAGTACTTATGGTGACTTTATCATGAACTCGAACTTAACTTTGTCTATCATTCTCAGTTTTACGTTGTGAATTGTTTACTTGCAAGAACTTACTTTTTGGGTCAGGCGATCCATGCACAACAATTCCGCTTTGCGGTAAAGGAGCTTGCGGTTGGCCAGGTTGTGTTTGTGGTTGTGTTTGGGTTTGAGGTTTGGGTTGGGGTACAGGTTGTGGTTTGGGTTGGGGTACAGGTTGTGGTTTAAGTTGGGGTGCAGGTTGTAGTTTTTCCGTTGGGGCGGATGTTTGTAAAAGTTTTTGTTTAGGAGGAAGAGTCGTTAATGGGTTTAGTCCTATGGGAATGAAAGTTCTCATTAGTAGCAGATCTGAACATCTCCGTGTATGCTGGTATATCGACTGCTGGACGTTTACAAAGAGTCAATGGCAATGTTTTCGCAACACTTTCTTAATCATGACGGAAAGTTTGCTTCTTTTAGGAATGATTGTCTGAGGTTCATAAATCATCGTCATATTGTGATCAATGCCAGCTAAGTCTGAATATGCCATCATCAAGCTTTTATGGAACGCCAAGCGTGACAAAAATGTTGAAAACTAAAATATAGGTTGTATCACTAAATAGATGTTGTACTGTGTAATAAATGGGTTGAATACTGCTTATATATAGCTTACGTTGAGACAAATACAGGTTGTAAAGTTCAACATATATATGTGTCACTTGAAAGTACAGCCTCTTATATATAGGTTGAAAATATCGATTTTCGGGCTTTTCCGAAAATCTTCGGAACGAACGAGACCGACGCGCGCGTCACGAGCCTATTTCGCGTTGTAAAGGCGACGCCATAATGAACGCTGCCTACATTGGCGA